ATGAAAGGGAAGACGCTACAACCAAGATTACTCTACCCAGCAAGGATCTCATTCAGATACGATGGAGAAATCAAAAGCTTTACAGACAAGCAAAAGCTAAGAGAATTCAGCGCCACCAAACCAGCTCTACAACAAATGCTAAAGGAACTTCTCTAGGCAGGAAACAAAAGAGGAGAAAAGGACCTACAATAACAAACCCATAACAATAAAGAAAAGGGTAATAGGAACATACATATCGATAATTACCTTAAACGTGAATGGATTAAATGCTCCAAACAAAAGACACAGGCTCGTTGAATGGATACAAAAACAAGACTCATATATGCTGTCTCCAAGAGACCAACTTCAGACATAGGGACACATACAGACTGAAAGTGAGGGCATGGAAAAAGATTTTCCATGCAAATGGAAATCAAAAGAAAGCTGAAGTAGCAATACTCATATAAGATAAAATAGATTTTAAAATAAAGAATGTTACAAGAGACAAGGAAGGATACTACATAATGATCAAGGGATGAATCCAAGAAGAAGATATAACAATTATAAATATATATGCACCCAACATAGGAGCACCTCAATACATAAGGCAACTGCTAACAGCCATAAAAGAAGAAATCGACAGTAACACAATAATAGTGGCAGACATTAACACCTCACTTACACCAATGGACAGATCATCCAGACAGAAAATTAATAAGGAAACAGAAGCTTTAAATGATACAATAGACCAGATAGATTTAATTGATATTTATAGGACATTCCATCCAAAAACAGCAGATTACACTTTCTTCTCAAGTGCCCACGGAACATCCCCCAGGATAGATCACATCTTGGGTCACAAATCAAGCCTCGGTAAATATAAGAAAACTGAAATCATATCAAGCATCTTTTCTGACCACAACGCTATGAGATTAGAAATCAATTACAGGGAAAAAAACGTAAAAAACACAAACACATGGAGGCAAACAATACATTACTAAATAACCAAGAGATCACTGAAGAAATCAAAGAGGAAATCAAAAAACACCTAGAGACAAATGACAATGAAAACATGATGATCCAAAACCTACGGAATGCAGCAAAAGCAGTTCTAAGAGGGGAGTTTATAGCTATACAATCCTACCTCAAGAAACAAGAAAAATCTCCAATAAACAATCTAAACTTACACCTAAAGGAACTAGAGAAAGAAGAGCAAACAAGACCCAAAGTTAGCAGAAGGAAAGAAATCATAAAAATCAGATAAGAAATAAATGAAAAAGAAATGAAGGGAACAGTAGCAAAGATCAAGAAAACTAAAAGGTGGTTCTTTGAGAAGATAAACAAAATTGATAAACCTTTAGCTAGACTCATCAAGACAAAGAGGGATAGGACTCAAATCAATAAAATTAGGAATGAAAAAGGAGAAGTTACAACAGACACCACAGAAATACAAAGTATCCTAAGAGACTACTACAAGCAACTCTATGCCAATAAAATGGACAACCTGGAAGAAATGGACAAATTCTTAGAAAGGTATAATCTTCCAAGACTGAACCAGGAAGAAATAGAAAATATGAACAGACCAATCACAAGTAATGAAATTGAAACTGTGATTAAAAATCTTCCAACAAACAAAAGTCCAGGACCAGATGGCTTCACAGGTGAATTCTATCAAACATTTAGAGAAGAGCTAACACCCAGCCTTCTCAAACTCTTCCAAAAATTGCAGAGGAAGGAAAACTCCCAATCTCATTCTATGAGGCCACCATCAGCCTGATACCAACACCAGACACAGATACTACAAGAAAAGAAAATTACAGACCAATATCACTGATGCAAAAAACAGAATATGGATGCAAAAATCCTTAACAAAATACTAGCAAACAGAATCCAACAACACATTAAAAGGATCATACACCATGATCAAGTGGCATGTATCCCAGGGATGCAAGGATTCTTCAATATACGCAAATCAATCAATGTGATACACCATATTAACAAACTGAAGGAGAAAAACCATATGGTCATCTCAATAGATGCAGAAAAAGCTTTTGACAAAATTCAACACCCATTTATGATAAAAACTCTTCAGAAAGTGGGCACAGAGGGAACCTACCTCAACATAATAAAGGTCATATATGACAAACCCACAGCAAACATCATTCTCAATGGTGAAAAACTGAAAGCATTTCCTCTAACATCAGGTACAAGACAAGGGTGTCCACTCTCACTACTATTATTCAACATAGTTTTGGAGGTCCTAGCCACAGCAGTCAGAGAAGAAAAAGAAATAAAAGGAATACAAATTGGAAAAGAAGAAGTAAAACTGTCACTGTTTGTAGATGACATGACACTATACACAGAGAATCCTAAAGATGCCACCAGAAAACTGCTAGAGCTAATGAATGAATTTGGTAAAGTTGCAGGATATAAAATTAATGCACAGAAATCTCTTGAATTCCTATACAATAACAATAAAAGATCAGAAAGAGAAATTAAGGAAACAATCCCATTCACCATTGCAACAAAAAGAATAAAATACCTAGGAAAAAACCTACCTTAGGAGACAGAAGACTTGTACGCAGAACACTATAAGAGACTGATGAAAGAAATCAAAGATGATACAAACAGATGGAGAGATATACCACGTTCTTGGATTGGAAGAACCAATATTGTGAAAATGACTATAGTACACAAAGCAATCTACAGATTCAATGCAATCCCTATCAAATTACCAGTGGCATTTTTTTACAGAACTATAACAAAAAATCTTAAAATCTGTATGGAGACACAAAAGACCCTGAATAGCCAAAGCAGTCTTGAGGGAAAAAAACGGAGCTGGAGGTGTCAGACTCCCTGACTTCAGACTATACTACAAAGGTACAATAATGAAGACAATCATGGTGCTGGCACAAAAACAGAAATATAGATCAATGGAACAGGATAGAAAGCCCAGAGATAAACCCATGCACCTATGGTCAACTAATCTATGATAAAGGAGGCAAGGATATACAATGGAGAAAAGACAGTCTCTTCAATAAGTGGTACTAGGAATACTGGACAAGCTACATGTAAAAGAATGAAATTAGAACACTGTCTAACACCATACACAAAAATAAACTCAAAATGGATTAAAGACCTAAATGTAAGACTGGACACTATAAAACTATTAGAGGAAAACATAGGAAGAACACTCTTTGACATAAATCACAGCAAGATCTTTTTTGACCCACCTCCTAGAGTAATGGAAATAAAAACAAAAATAAACAAATGGGACCTAATGAAACTTAAAAGCTTTTGCACAGCAAAGGAAACTATAAACAAAACGAAAAGACAACCCTTAGAATGGGAGAAAATATTTGCAAACGAATCAACAGACAAAGGATTAATCTTCAAAATATATAAACAGCTCATGCAGCGCAGTATTAAAAAAAAAAACAACCCGGGCTTCCCTGGCGGCGCAGTGGTTAAGAGTTCGCCTGCCGATGCAGGGGATATGGGTTCGTGCCCCGGTCCGGGAGGATCCCACATGCCGTGGAGCGGCTGGGCCCCTGAGCCATGGCCGCTGAGCCTGCGCGTCCGGAGCCTGTGCTCCGCAACGGGAGAGGCCACAACGGTGAGAGGCCCGCGTGCCGCAAAAACAGAACAAAAACAAAAACAAAACAACCCAATCCAAAAATGGGCAGAAGACCTAAATAGACATCTTTCCAAAGAGGACATACAGATGGCCAAGAGGCACATGAAAAGCTGCTCAACGTCACTAATTATTAGAGAAATGCAAATCAAAAGTACAACGAGGTATCACCACACCAGTACGAATCAGAAAATCTACAAACAATAAATGCTGGAGAGGGTGTGGAGAAAAGGGAACCCTCTTGCACTGTTGGTAGGAATGTAAATTGATACAGCCACTATGGAGAACAGTATGGAGATTCCTTAAAGAACTAAAAATGGAATTACCATATGACCTAGCAATCCCAGTACTGGGCATATACCCAGAGAAAACCATAATTCAAAAAGACACATGCACCCCAATGTTCATTGCAGCACTATTTACAATAGCCAGGTCATGGAAGCAACCTAAATGCCCATCGACAGATGAATGGATAAAGTAGATATGGTATATATATACAATGGGATATTGCTCAGCCATAAAAAGGAACGAAATTGGGTCACTTGTAGAGACGTGGATGGACCTAGAGACTGTCATACAGAGTGAAGTAAGTCAGAAAGAGAAAAACAAATATCATATATTAATGCATATATGTGGAACCTAGAAAAATGGTACAGATGAACCGGTTTGCAGGGCAGAAATAGAGACACAGATGTAGAGAACAAACATGTGGACACCAGGGCGGAAAAGTGGTGGGATGAATTGGGAGATTGGGATTGACATATATACACTAATATGTATAAAACAGATAACTAGTAAGAACCTGCTCTGTAAAAAATAAATAGATAAAATTAAATTAAAAAAAATAAATTCAACAGGTATTTGTTGAATTCCTACTATGTACAAGGCATTATGCTAGGTTTTACAAGGGACACAAAGGTGAATGATAGTCTCTGTTCTCAAGGAATTTACTGCTGTCCCTTGGTATCTGAGGGGGATTGGCTGCAAGACCCCAGCAGACACCAAAATCTGAGGATGCTCAAGCCCCTTACATAAAATGGCACAGTATTTGCAAATAACTTATGCACATCCTCCCATATACTTTAAATCATCTCTAGATTACTTATAATACCTAATACAATGTAAATGCTATGTAAATAGTTGCCTATGTGTGGCAAATACAAGTTTTACTTTCTGGAACTTTCCAGAATCTTTTTTTTCCTGATCCACAGGTGGTTGAATTCACAGATATGGAGGGCTGACTGTATAATCCAATAGATCTAATAGTATAAACTGAACTGAACATACAACATATTATTGAATATCTTGCTATTAAAAGTAGACATTTCTACTTCTTGTATTAATGATAAAACTATTGAGTACAATTTATATTTGCACAAATTTTTACCTGTTTGTTTGCAAACACAACCAGAGGAAGGATTGGATTTGTCCCAATTAGTTGATGAAGGTGCTTCTTGGCTTCAGGTAATCTGTTGTGATCTGCTGAATCCACCACAAAGATTAGCAGCAATCCTTTGGACAGGTACATTTCCCAACAGGAACGGAAAGGTTCGCTGCCACCAACTACAAAGAACAGTAGAGAAGGAAGACACACACACAAACCTCAGAAGAGTCCACTGAGGGGGGCAGGAAAGACACATTTTGATAATTCCTGAACACTGGATACATATTCTGATAAAAGACCTCTGTGAGACTCTACCCAATTCTTCAAACAACTTGAGCGATGTTACTGGGGAAATGATTGGTGGGAATATTTACCCTCCACAAGCGGGTCACTCATTCTGGAACACAAAGGACCAGCATAAAGATCTTAAATTTGTACTACAGTGGATGTCTCCTGATCTGTTATACACAGCAGCCACGATGGCCAATGCCTGTCAGGTATAGCTCAGCGAATGGGAGTAGGATACTAAAATAATTCAGGGTGGTGGGTTAAAACACATATTTCTCTAAAATAAGTTTTAAATGGACTGATTTAAATGTCATTGGCTAGCCTCACTTGCACAACTTTTTTCCTTTGTCAAAATCCCAGAACTAATTTCCTCTCTTAATCTTGCACAAAGAGTTAATATGATCCTGTGGGCATTCAGGAATACTTGCTTCAGAAGAAATTCCTTTGGGTTATTTCATTCTGCTGCTTCTTCCCAGAAGAAACTTTTTGGAATGATAATAATACATACACAATGAATTCAGTTTTTATTTTTCTCCTGGGACAGAATATGACAAACAATGGCCCACAGCCTAAATCTGGCTCACTGCCTATTTTTGTACAGCCCACGAACAAAAAATGGATTCTACCTTTTTAAATGTTTGGGGAAAAAAAGAATACCATTTTGTAACACATGAACATTATATCACATTTGGATTTCAGTACAAATAAAGTTGTATGAGAACACAGGCACATAGATTTGTGCACATATGGTCTCCGGCTGCTTTCGCAGTACAACTGCAGGGTTGAGTAGCTGCACAGAGCCCATGCGGCCACAGAGTCTACATTAGCTACTCTCGAGCCCTCTGCAGAAAAAGTGTGCAGACTCCTGTTACAGGGACTTAACAATACCATTTAAAAAACGAATAGGATAGGGTGTTGATTTGTCTTTGTTTTCTTTTGTATGGAGAGCCAGGCTAGTCATTCTTCGAAGTATTTTGTGTTTTTAATTTTTTTAAAGAATGTGTATAATCCAAGTAATTCATATGGTTTTAACACATGTAGTTTTAAGGTGAATGAACATGTCGTTCCCCATGTTTTTGGCAACACCATGACATTTCACCTACACAGGGATTGCTATCTTTTAGGTATTAACTTCTAACTTGACAGCAATGTAGTTGAGAACACAGTTTGTATGATGCATCCTCTTTGAAAACTTTGTTAAGACTTGCTGTATGGCCCAGTAAGCGGTCATTGCTGGTAATTGTTCTGTGAGAGTTTGAGAAGAATGTGAATTTTAACTTTTGTATGTGGCTAAAATTGTCTAATTGGACAATTTTATATTATTCAGTAGATCGAACTTGTTGACTGTGTTCAAATTTTATATATCTCTGCGGATATTTTTTCTCCTTGATCTTATTAATAATTGACAAAGATATGTTGAAACCCCTCACTCCAACGGCAGATCTGTCCACTTCTCCCCCTAATTGGAGTTTTCTTTTTCCTTCCTATCTCCCTTTCTTTTTTTCCTTCCCTTTCCTTTCCTTCCCATTTTTCTTTTCACTTTTTATATTTTGAGACTTTTGTTAGCCATCCATTTCATTAAAAATATTATTTCTTCCATAGCTTCTGGGGAAATTGAAAACTCTATTCTTAACAATGCTTTTATCATAAAGATTTGCCTGCAGGCTTACCAATTTCTCTGCCCACCATTTTCTCTTCGCAACTGAATGAAAGCAAAAATTCATAGCATTTTACTTGCAGGCTGGAGTTGGGGTACAAAAGGGGGTACAGAAAACTCCCAGTTTTCTGGCTTGAGCATGTTGATGGGTGAGGAGACATTTACTGACCAGTTGGATTACAAGGGAAAGGAACAGATACGGAGATATATCAAACATTTTGTCTTGACAATATTAGGCTTGAGAGGCCAGTGAGACAGCCAGGTAGAGATGTCAGGCAACATCTGGATATGTTTGGCTGGAGAGATAAATTTGGGAGTCATTAGCATATAGATAGTATTTAATGTCAAGAGGAAAGGTGAAATCATCCTAGGAGAGAGTGTAAAGAGGAGACAAGAGGATCTAATGCAACTTTGGGGTACAGCAATATTTTGAGAGGTGGTGACTCCAGAACTGCTAGAGGAGGGGTTTCTGGGTTGCCATCTGGTTACAAGAGGTTTGGAGCTTACCTCTATTTGCATTTGCAGAGAAGGAAACACACTGTATTTACTTAGATTGCATTTATATTTGGGGTAGTAAGGGAGGAGGGAGGCTGTTATAGGAGGGGTGTGAAAGCCTTCCCCTCAACTCCCCTTTATCACCACCACTGCAAAAAGAAGAAAATGAAAAGAACAGAAAGTGATTCCCACACTGTACCCAAGCAATAAACTACACATGCATTCTGAAAGTCTAGGAAAATCTGACCCAGTGTTTCATTTCACAATGACCCAATGTTGATAACATTAAATCTGGCTTAAGGTATAACGATAATGTGGCTATAGGCTATCGGTTATCCCCAGAACTACTGAGAAACACAGCTTACTCTCCAGGAACTCCAACTGGCTGTCTTCAGTACTGATGCACACTGCATTGAAACCTTGGGTAGGTGCCACGCTGTGCTGGACTCTGTTTAAAGCTAGAGAGTGGAGAACACTGGTCTTTCCTGCTCCATCCAGGCCCAGCACTAGGATCTGCTTATTTTTCTCCTGTGAAACAAAAGATAAGTCAATAAAGCTATGCTATCAGGGCCTGCTTTTCCTGGCTCCTGGCAGTGTGCCTGCCAATAATATTGTGGAATTGTAAACCAGAATAAAACATCACAAAACATTTAATAGGTCTAGAACAAACTGTACCAGTCAGTTTGTATTTTATATAATCAGCCATCAGTTATGTGATATTAATTGCATACCCCCTCTCCATCCCCCAACTCCTGGTCAATCTATCAAATAAATACTTTATATATATATATATCAGGATTTATGGGAGATGCCATATTTTCAGGGTCAATTTTCAGACTTCACTTTGCTTCCTGAGTTCATGTCTATTGGAGACTGCAACAGAATTCAATTTGTTGTATGGGGTCTTGGGGCCTACTTGTTCCATATATTGACTTTGCCACTCAGCATGTAAGCATCTAAGGTCTCACATTATTAATCTGTCTTGTCTTCCCAGTTGAATCACTAGATTAAAAGCCCTTAGGGCAAGGTTACCCTCATAAATGAAAAGGCGAAGATTATAGAAACTGTTAAACCAGTTCTAATCATAATTGAGTATTTAAAGCCTGACACTAAAACCTGATGAACTAGATGTAAACTTTAGGAAGAAGCATTCTACCAACATACCAACCTTAGAAAATTTTATGACAAGTGATTGAGGGGCAAGAAGGGCAGGCTGGTATGAAGGCAGAAATAGAAATTTCAGAGTGCTCAGAAAGGTGACTTTTAGGGTACAAACTTTAATGTAAACAGTAATAAATAAGCAACAATCCAGCCAGACTACTCACAGGAATTCTATTTCTCAAACAGCCTACTAAAGAGATTTCTCATGCATAAAAAACACTAATAAATGTCTTCAGTGGCATTGGTTTAAAAATAATAATCATATACATTTCTGCTTGAACACTAAATGTTGACATTAGACTTAGACTGGATTTCTGTTTAAAAAAAAAAAAAAAACAGTGATCCTAAACAGCACTAAATGTCTATCCCACCTCTTTTTTTTTTTTTTTTTAAATATGTAAGATCTATGTAAAAGTAAGATGGTTTAAGCTCTGGTCTAATAGGGTCTTGTATACAGGGCAGCATTTAATAAACCTGTCTAGTGAATAACAGAATGTTTGTTTTTGGAGTGAATTCTTGATGGCTCTTAAAGCAAAAGGTATTTCCATAGGTGTTTCCTCTCTCCATCCCCACTTCCTCCCCGTTCCCTCTTACGTACAACTAAATGTCATAGTGTCATTCTGAGAGAGTGATGGTAAGGAAGAGGGACTTGATGCATGAACGGGATGCTTTAAAGCAATGATGCCACCAAGAACTGGCTGCGAGATGTGGATTGTGTCTCCCTCATTATCTCCACCAATGGCTCTACTCAGGCTATCCCAACATATTTCATCAGTTCCAAGATGCTGTTTGTTTTCTGGGTTTTTTTTTTTTTCCACATTTTAACATCTCTGAAATGACGACTTTACAATCTATGGTATGTCATATTTTGGTTGGCAGCATTTTTTTTCTTTGTGTTACCTAAAATAATGGCACCTTAGATCCTATGAAATTTTGTGAATAAAAACAGTTCCCTACTCCCTTTCCAACCATATCGCTGCTCCTAAACCCCTAGAAATTCTGCAGTCACTGATGCTTTACATTTTGCTTATTTTTTAGTCTAAAATACAAGCCTCCTCATATTTATAATCTCTTAAGAAAAGCTGGGGTTACTGTAAACCAGGAGTTCAGACCCGAAATGTGATTCTCAACACCACTGTTCCTTGCAAAAGTTATTCATTTAACTATATGTGAACCTATGTAGTCTGTGTTTTACCAGAGATCAAATCTCCATTAATAATTCACATTGTTTAGAACCAGAAAGCAGCTCTGAGCTCAGGAACTCCAGGAGCACAGAGTCCACTGAGCTGATCCAAATAATGCCTGTTTTTCCTTCTTCCCCCTCAATTTTTAAATCGTGGTAAAATACACAACATAAAATTTACCATCATAACCATTCTTAAACATACGGTGATATTAAATCCATTCATAATATTGTGCAACCATCACCACTATCCATCTCCAAAACTGTTCATCTTGTAAGATTAAACTCGAACTCCGCACTCCCCCTTCCCCCAGGCCCCACCATTCTATTCTCTACGATTCTGACTACTCTAGGTACATCATATACGTGGAATCATAGGTATTTGTCCTTTTGTGACTGCAGTGCCTGGTTTCTGAGACCTCTCAGTTAAACCTTTGTGCCCGTCCCTTCTGGGCGCTGGTGGTCTGAAAACAATGGAAGTAGTAACCTCAGCGCCCACAGAAAATGTCCAGAGGGACCCAAAACACATCCTGCACAAATTCAGGAACCCTGCACCTTCCCACATGGAACTTACGAAACAGAAAAGACTAGGAGAGCGCATGTGTGGTGAGGGTTTGGGGCTGGTTTCAGTGTCGTGGGCGGACTGGGAGCTAGCGTTGGGCGTCGGACAGAGATGGGGCTGGAAAGAGGGCTGTTCCCCGCGCTCCCGTGAACCCGACTAAGGCCTCCTCTTCAACACTAGACCAGACGAGACCTGACCTTCCTCAACACTAGACCTAGACCTTGGACGCAGGGTCGGGGTTAGAGCGGGCAAGGGGCTGGGGAGATGGCGTTCGCAGCTTGGCACACCTGTTCCATCCGCGGTTACAAAGCCCGCACACGAGACCGGATTCCCTCCGGCGCGAGAGCCGGCGCTCCGGCCAGAACGCTGACAACTGCCTTGGGTGAGGGTCTGAGGCACCCGTCTCTTACCGGCAGCTCCAGCGGCGGCTTTGCCAACGTGCTGTTGTCCTTCTCTTTCTCTTCTTTTTCCGTAAATTGTTCCTTCCCCTTCTCCGTCTCCCGCCCTTTCCTCTTTTCCTCTTCTTTACTCTTACTTTTCTCCTCCCTCCCCCTTTCCTTTTCTTTTTCCTTAATTTTCTCCTTCTCCACCTCCTTCTTTTTATCTTTCTCCTCCTTTCCTTTTCCCCGTATTTTCTCTTTCTCCGGCTCCTTTCCCTTCTCTCTCTTCACTTTCCCCCTCTCCATCCCCACCACCCTTGCTTCCCTCCCTCCTCCCACGCGCCCGCGCGCTGGAGCTGCGGTGCGGGGTCCCGGCAGGAGTGGCCCCTGCGGGGGGCGCAAGGAGGAGACGCAGGTCCACGCAGCGTACAACTCCCCCGCGGTCACCGCGCGGCGCCAGCACCCCGGCCCCGAGGGGCGACGACTGCAGTCCGGCGCTCGCTCGCCGGGGGCTGCGCGCAGCGGATTCGCCGAGCCCTGGGGCGGTAGGCGAATTGGAGAGGGTAAGGCGCGGGTAGCCAGAAGGGTCGAGCCCAGGCGAGGGGTCTGGGAGGCCCGGCCGCGGGAGTTCGGAAAGTCTGGTCAAACAGGAAGATCGTCCCCAGGTGCCACTTCCTCGGGAGATCCCCTCGGGCTGGGCAGGGTGTCTCAGAAAGCCCTTTCGAGACGCCCAGATCTTAGCCTCTCGCCTCTCCCGCCTCCTCCCCGAGCCCGCCCAGCCCTCGTGTCTGCGACCCGGAGAGCGCTTGAGGCGCACCAGAGGATGCCCCGCCTTCCCCTCGTCAGTAGTCACAAGCCTGGAGAGTGAAGTTAGGGATCTCTCCGCCCTCCGTCCTGTTTAAGTCCACCAGCAGCGTCTAGAGATGCTATCCAGGATGCTTAAGGAAAAACAGGAATGTGAATGTTCCCTTATTTTAAATCTGTTACATTTCGCTTAAAAAAAATTTCTCTGGAGATTAGTCTTCCAGGATCACAGATACTGGTAATACCGTGTATTAAAACCACAACTAAACAAAATAGCCTAGTCTCTCCCAATGATCTAATATATAACAAATTAGGTACCCACGGGGCTTTGCAAAGGTGGTGTAACGTTGCTTACACTGCTTGAGAAGTATATGGATGGTTCTTTTTTATTATTTTGTTAAATTGGATTAGTTTACAATCTAACAAAATTATCTTAATGCAATAAACTGACTTACCTTCATCAGATCTACATTTCAAACAGGCTTAAAAGGAAACAACGAATGAACTGCAGGTTTCAGAAAGCTTCAGTGATGCAACAGTTTTTAAGTAGTTCTTAAGGTTAGCAGTTTCCAAGCAGTCTTGAAAATGCTATGCTTAAAAACTGAAAAAATGTATACTCCTCAATTTGTTTATATACAGATATCAACATGATGAATTTTCAGTCAAGTTAAAACTGGGTTCTCTCAATCCCATTAGTTTAGTTTTCCCGTTTTGGGGGGAGAGGCAGGGGATAATTTTAGATACTCAGCTTAAAAAATTCTTAGATATACTAACAGAAGTCCTCTGTAAAACGCCAACACCCCAGAACACCTTAATCCATACTCACCGCTAGATTATTTTATTTTAAAATGTGCTACAGTGAATGGATGTATCCATACTGGCTTTTATAAATGCACACACACAGAGACACACACACACACAGACACACATACACAAAGTATATAGGTCATTGGTTAAAGACCTGTCCAAAAGAATAATTACTAGAAAGTTAATGTAGGTGTTTACATTTCATTTGACAATTACAATTTATTTGAACTGAGGTTTCAGTTGCTTAATAATGACTGATAATAACGACTGGCAATTACAATGACTTAGAGAACTATAAATTTCTCTGTGTGCCTTGGGTCAAAATTTTCATTGGCGGATAATTTTCACCAAAATTCTGTAGCTTAGTTAACCTAAAAAATGATTATCCTTCACCACAGAAATTTAATGGAATCCTAAAATCATAAATTTACTAACAATTATTTTTGTAATGGGGTTTATATTCAGAAGGAATAAATATCTGTCACTTACCAAAAGACTGTTCTGAGAGCTCAAAAGGTATAATGCCATAATAAATCATTCATATATGAAGGTCTCTTGTTTAGATGCTACCACAGTTTATGTTAAACAGAAAGGCAGCACCACATTTCTTACTCTTGTAAAGGAGGAAAGCCTTTTAAAAAACTCTTTGAAGAAGTTTCAGTAGATATGTTCAGAGTCAAACACAGCAGCACTTTATTAACAAGGACAGAGCAATATGATCACAAGGAAATACTCATAAGTCTAAACTGAATGCTATCTTGGGCAGCATAAAAGGAATACTAACAAGTGTAGGCATCCCAGTGTGTCTGTCTCACACCTGTTCAATGGGAAGGTGACTCGTAAGCAAGGCAAGAACAGAGCAACACTGATACCACACACTGACTACAATACTTCATTACTTTGAGAAGGGTAGTGAATGGTCATACCCCCAACTAGAAAGAGGAATCATTTGAGACCTATCAATTGGGCCAACAGTTCTGTTAAGCTTTAATACTGCCTACTCCTGAACTCTGGTATTAACCTCCTCTCTATGTAGGAAGTCAATGTTCATGCTCTTTCTGATTTCTGTCAAATCCATCTGACCTCAGAACACTGGGTCTAAGAGTCAACTTCTTGCAACATTGATGTCTTTCCCTTGAGATCTTTAATAGTGCTAAATCAGCATAATGTTATCATAACTTGAAAATGACATGGGGGCACAAAAAAGTCCTAATTTATATACATGTGTATATATGTATATACATACACATACTTTTCATTACTATATATATATATATATCTATATATATATATATATATAGCATCCCATATTCCAGTATCACATGGCAGAGAATTTACAGTCAGAATAATCAAGACATTTAATTTAGTTTTCCTGTGGCCACTCATGTAGTGAACTGAAAAATACCAGTGTATTAATAAGGTCCCTTTTTATTACATGCTATTTCTAAGCAGATATTTGGAATGCTCAGAAGACTCCACTTTCAGTCTCCTAAGGCCTCCTAAGACGTAATTTAAAGTGGGACTTGATAGAACAAATATCTTTGCACTCTAGTTGAAACAGAAGTAGTTTCTGTTTATATCCTAGGAAACCTTGGATAACATGCCTTCTTTGTGAAATTGAAAAAAACAGCAGATCAGCACACAAAGAGAAAGGATGCAACAGATATCAAAGTGGGTGAATGCCCAACTATTCTGACTCCTCCTCATCTGTGCAAAGCAAGGTGGTACAAGTAGGCCAAGTCTGACTGGGCAGAGTTTGAGGAAGATGCTTTTCTGTTTGATGAACAAGAAAATAATTTTATGAAAATGTGGGGATGGGAGAGGGAGCAGCTCTGTGCTTCTTGCTGTGTTACCTTTATTATGTTCCCAGTGTCACTGAGACTAGTTTAAAAATAGCCTACAAAAAGAATGTTCTAATCACCAGCCACCTTTTCCACCTTTCTTCTTTTTCTGTTGCTGTTTCTTTTTTGTTGCTGGAGCCCCTGCAGGTTTCTGGTGTCTTGGGGGTATGATATTACTTGTAGATGTAGATGCTGTTGCTGCGCTGCCAGGTCGTGGGGAGGTGGGTGGGCTGCTCACAGTTTTACTGGCATCCCTGAAATCATCAGATCAGGAAAGTGTTGGTCATTCATATATTCAACAAAGGAAAAGGCTATAAAAATGTATGTACATGGATTTCACTTTCCACCTCTCACAATCTCCCACACACATTTTCTTTTTCTTCCTTTCTTTCTTTTTTGGCCGCGCCACATGGCATGCGGGATCTTGGTTCCCCGATCAGGGTTGGCACATGTGATCTTGGTTCCCAGACCAGGGATGGAACCCGTGCCCCCTGCAGTGCCTCCGAGCTCGGAGTCTTAACCACTGGATTGCGCGGAAGTTCCCACACATATTTTCTTTTAAGGTGCGTTCCCCAACTCCCTATCCATTTTTCTTTTGAATAAAATTTTTACTGCATTATAATTTTTAAAAATGTAATTGATGGTACATGTCAATTTTTAGAAAGCTTAGAAAATAAAGAAAAAAAAACTTTTAACGACCTATAATCCTTCCATGTAGAAATAACTGATTTAGTAACATTTTAAATTCTGCTTTCTAGTCAAATTATTTATTTATATGTTTCTCTAGATATTTAGTTAGTTGAATTACTCAGTGTATATAGTTTCCTTTTGAAGGTACTGTAATCCTAACATCTGCAATACAATCCTACAATTCTAGTATTTACAATACAACCAAGCCAGAAACAGCATGTTTTCTTTCCTTTACATAAGCATATTACAAAACATTTATTAAAGATATCTGACTATACCTCTCATACTGTAAACATAATTCAAAAATTCTTAATGATGACCCTGAGTCAATCTCAGAAAGAAGCAACCTATGCCCTGAGGACTGGGAAGCAATGACTTACAATTCAGATGAAGCTCCTACAGTTGCTCCCTGGGTCCCTTTTCCAATCTGATCCTTCTTTTTACCCTTCTTTCTTCCTCGGTAGTAAGAACGTTCACGCATTGGTAGCCATCTTTCTGGATCTGGGGTCACTTTTGGGTCATAATTTTTAGGCAGTTTTCCTGTTTAACAATTAATTGATAAAGAAATGAGAGATCTGTCCATAATGTTTTTGAGATAGTTTGTTTAAACACTGTGTCCAAACCTGGGAATAAATAACATTAAAACTGAAATAAACTTATCTGAGAAAGTTTTATTTGTATAATCTAGCAGCGGAAAAAGGACTTATTTCTAAGCATGACACAAAATTCAGAAGGCATAAAAAGATTTCATAGATGTATCTGTATAAAAAAGTTTAAATTTTCATTTGGTAAAAGATAATTTTTAAGAGAAATAACAAAACAAGAAAACATTTGCGTACTATGTAACAGAGTGAATTAATATTCTTAATATAGAATGAGTTCTTGATAATCAGTAGGTGAATCATGCAAAGAAAATGGGCGTAGCTGTAATTAGAGTAAGCCAAGAGAAATAAAAGTCATTAACTATGTGAAAAGATGCATGACCTCACTAATTAAAAATAATAAGGATAGGGGAGTTCCCTGGTGGCCTAGTGGTTAGGATTCCAGGCTTTCACTGCTGTGGCCCGGGTTCAGTCCTTGGTCAGGGAACTGAGATCCCATAAGCTGTGCAGCGTGGCCCCCCAAAAAAACAAAATTAAAGGATAAAAAAATTCTATATTAAAAAGTGTAATATGCAGTGTTTGTGAGATAGTGGGCAACTCTCAAACACTATGGCAGAAGTATATGCTAGTATAGCCTCTGTAGAGAGCAAATAATTGGCAGTACCAGTCAAAATTTATACTTTTAGAAATTTATCTTGCAGAAACTCCTAAGTCACAAAGCTATATATGTGTAAGAATACTCTCTGTGATATTCTTGAAAACAGCAAATTAACTTAAATGTCTATCAATAAGAGAATGATTAAATATAGTATCCTCACACTATAGCAAGCTATAAAACTGAGTTAAAAAATGAAATACATCTATATTTAATAATTTGGAAAAATGTCTGCACAATATAGTCTAAGTAGAAGATTAAAACAAATTATCCTGATTTGTCTATATCAGTTTTGTAAAAATATTAATTGAGCATGTAAATGTGTATATGTTTATATATACAAAAAAAGTTAATTATCTCTGGGAGAATGAATTTGGGGTAGGGAATTTTCCATTCTTTATGCCATTCTATAATGACAGAAGTCTCTTACCTTTATTTTGTTTTTATTTTCTTTTGTTTTTATAATGAACATATCTCTTGTAAATTAAAAAAAATACTCATCTGGAAACCACGAAAACAGAAAAACTGAAACTGGAGGTTACTGATACCTACAGTTATCAGCTATTTCCTTGCAGTATTACTAATAAATAAAACAACATGAAACAAATACTTTAGTTTTTACCAATTTCCAAGTACAGTGATAAAAGTGAAGAACTAGTAAGACTTGTAGGTAAAGACAGTGGAGTG